CCTTAAGCCTACTTGTATGTTTCTCCAGGTTTTTATAACAAATGTTTACATTCACTTTAACCTAAATGTGGAAATATTGTTAATGTCCCACGCGGATGAACAGAATTATTTATCAATGCTAAGGGACAATTCAAAATGCCTATCCATGCCTTGTAAGATATTTGTTGGGCATGTCTGATCATATTCCAGTGCTTCGCAGGACCATATATGAGCAGCTCTTAAGAGTAATATAAGAGTAGCAAACCAGTGATGAGATCTGTAAAAGAATGGGACAAAGAAAGTACTACACAGCTATTGGGTTGTTTTGACTGCTGGCGATGGGGTGTGTTTTAAAGATGCATCAGAGGACATTCATGAATCTGTTGATCATAGTGTCTGATTATTTTATTTTGTATGTGGCCTCTTTTATTCCTACCAAATGTTTTAAGGTTTTTCCCTAGAAGCCATGAGTAACCAAGAATTTCAAAGGGTACTTCTTCTATAAAGAAGCTTGTTTTCTCTCAAGGGGAAGCAGAGATCGGGAGGGCAGTGCAGAAAGAGGTGAAAAGAGAGATAAGGAAATATAAAGGTCGCTAGAGGGAAAAGTAGAGTATATCATTGCTGTGGGTGGTAAGTGGGTTACAAGGTACAAATTGTATTAAACAAATGTCACTTTTGTGCTCAGGTCTGGGACTACAAACTCTTCATGGCTGTACTAACCAGAAGGACACAGTCTGTTGGGTTTTAAGTGGATATTATTGCATAGACCAAGCAGATGGAGGGTGTAAGGCAGCTCGCCCACACACTGTGTGCACTCCGGGACAGTGGGTTAAACAGCCAGGTAAGGCTACACGGCATTCACTACACACTCCTCTGCCATCTTCCTAAATCAGCTCTCACTGATCGTGTCACCCCTCTGTGCTGTGCTTGAGGGTACGTGTTCTAGAAGGACAAGCTGTGTCTGCACTGCTGGTAAACATTCTACAGTCCTACTAGAGAAATCCACTGAGATCTATTTCATAATTGCTACAAATGAATCTTTTAAAGGTTGTTTTACATTGACGCTTTTGTTTACGGGATCTTTATTTTAAAGGTTCCGATTCTACTGACACTGAATGTGACGACTGCCCTCAAAATTCATACTCAGATGGCCTTTTTACATCATGCAAACCCCACACAGAGTAAGTTGTTACATTTTTGTTCTCCTTCAAGTAAGGAGCATTTTCA